AGCCATTTTCGAGGTGCTCCAAGTCCTCAAGGAGTTTAGCATGTGCAACTTCAAGCTCCTCATTTTTAGTTTCAAAATCATTGGCCACCTCAAGAGCTCTATCACGAGATTCCCTCACTCTAGATAATTCTAGAGCAAAAGTCTCCTCAAGAGATTCCTTGGTGGTTTGTTCAAGTTCAAGAGCTTGAGAGAGGTCCGCAATCTTATTAATATACTTCTTTCCCTTAATGGCAATTGACATGATTTCCATGAAGTTGGAACGAGCAATCTTATTAGCGTAATCACGCTCATGACCTTCCATTTTCTCAATGGTGACCTCATGCTCCTCAAGACGAGATTCCAACTCATCAATATACTTCTTTCCCTTAATGGCAATTGACATGATTTCCATGAAGTTGGAACGAGCAATTTTATTTTTATGAAGAGCTTTAAAAACCATTTACCCCTTAATTTTTAAGGAGGCAACATTATCATTCTCTTCATCATTATCCTCATCATCATTAGCATCAACATCATCATCAAGAGACATATTGGGTTTCAAAGTAGGAGATACCTTTGAAGCCTTAGCCATAAGGCAAAAAGCAATAGATGATGATGTAGGATCCCTTGAAGCACCATTCAAGACCACATCTTGTTCCATGGGGTGTTTGGTTTCCTCTACATTGTTAGCATAACAATTCGAGGACATACATGCATTTTTATCATGGCAACAAGACATAGTAAACATATCATCATGAGATTTAGTCAAGCAATTTCTACATGATATGCAAGGACTATCAACACAAGCATGTGAAACATTTGGAGTGCTCAAAGTGTTAAAGCCCAAAGAAGGAGCATTGCAATAAGATAGTGATGATGGATCATCCACAAGAAGCATACTATCATCATTGCAATGACCAACACTACTCACCATATCATTACCTTGTGGCAAACCACATGTAGGTGAAGTATAAGAAGTTGAGAAGACTATACGACCGGAGATGGACGGAGAACAATCATCCCCACAAATCTTGGACACACCATATTTATCTTGAAGCTTCGTCCACAACTCATGAGCATCCCGGAACAGCATGAGTTGAAATATAACTACATTGCTCAAAGCATTGAAAAGCACATTAGAAGCTTGAGCATTGAGATAAGAGTTTTTCTCATCCTCTAAAGATAATCTTTGGGGATCCTTTGGGGGAGAAAAACCCATATCTACAATTCGCTCTAAATTTGGGTCCATGACCCTAAAGAGATTAAGCATGGGAATTACCCAAACATCAAAATTTGTGCCATCGAAACTAAGAGTGTCAGAGAATCCTAATCCCCTAGTCGACATCTTTACTCTCTAGGCGGTAAAGCCTGATAAAGAGAGACGAGGCTCTGATACCAATTGAAAGATCGTGGATGTCGCCTAGAGGGGGGGTGAATAGGCGTTTTAAAATAATTACGGTTTATGCTTGAACAAATGCGGAATAAACCTAGCAGTTAATTTGTCAAGCACAAAACCTAAAACAACTAGGCTCACCTATGTGCACCAACAACTTATGCTAAGCAAGATAAGCAACTAAGTGATAACAAGATATATGACAAGAAACAATATGGCTATCACAAAGTAAAATGCATAAGTAAAGGGCTCGGGTAAGAGATAACCGAGGCACACGGAGACGATGATGTATCCCGAAGTTCACACCCTTGCGGATGCTAATCTCTGTTTGGAGCGGTGTGGAGGCACAATGCTCCCCAAGAAGCCACTAGGGCCACCGTAATCTCCTCACGCCCTCGCACAATGCAAGATGTCGTGATTCCACTAAGGGACCCTTGAGGGCGGTCACTGAACCCGTACAAATGGCAACCCTTGGGGCGGTCACCGAACCCATACACTTTGGCAACCCTTGGGGGCGGTCACCGGTACCGTCAAATTGCTCGGGGCGATCTCCACAACCTAATTGGAGACCCCGATGCTTGCTCGGAGCTTTACACCACAATGATTGAGCTTCGAACACCACCAACCGTCTAGGGCGCCCAAGCACCCAAGAGGAACAAGCTCAAGGGTACCAAGCACCCAAGAGTAATAAGGTTCTCAACTTGTAACTTCCACGTATCACCGTGGAGAACTCAAACCGATGCACCAAATGCAATGTCAAGGGCACACGGAGTGCCCAAGACCTTCTCTCTCAAATCCCACCGAAGCAACTAATGCTAGGGAGAAAAATGAGACGAAGAACAAGAAAGAGAACACAAAGAACTCCAAGATCTAGATCCAAGGGGTTCCCCTCACATAGAGGAGAAAGCGATTGGTGGAAATGTGGATCTAGACCTCCTCTCTTTTTTCCCTCAAAAACTAGTAAGAATCCATGGAGGGATTGAGAGTTAGCAAGCTCGAAGAAGGTCAACAATGGGGGAAGAACACGAGCTCAAAGGATAAGGTTCAATGGGGAAGAAGGCCCCCTTTTATAGGGCCTCCCGAATCCAACCGTTATGTGCTCAGCCCGCACACGAGCGGTACTACTGCTCCACGAGTAGTACTACCGCTTAGCATGGTCAAAACACCCAAACGAGAGAGAAAAACACAAGCTGAAAATCTGCCAGAGAGGTAGTACCTCTCTAAGGAGAGGTAGTACCGCTTACTGCTTATAAGAGGTACTACCGCTCGGGTGGAGAGGTAGTACCGCTTACCGCATATAAGAGGTACTACCGCTCGGGTGGAGAGGTAGTACCGCTTACCGCTTATAAGAGTTACTACCGCTCTACTACCGTGAAACTCGACACGAAAGAGAAAAACAGGAGCTGAAAATCTGCCAGAGAGGTAGTACCGCTCTAGGGAGAGGTAGTACCGCTTATTGCTTATAAGAGGTAGTACCGCTCAGGTGGAGAGGTAGTACCGCTTACCGCATATAATAGGTACTACCACTCGGGTGGAGAGGTAGTACCGCTTACCGCTTATAAGAGGTACTACCGCTCTACTACCGCGAAACTCGACACGAAAAAGGCGCATCCCCAGAAGAAGCGGTACTACGCACGGCACAGTGCCACGGTACTACTGCTTACAAGCGGCACTACCGCTCTAGAGAGCAGTACTACCGCTTGAGGCTTTCAAGAACACAACAGAGAAAACAGAGGATGCAAAAGAGCCTAAACTACCACAACTTCTGCATATGAGCTCCGAATTGAGCAAACTCAAGCTTGTTGGAAACAAGACGACGAGGAGCATCAAAACAACGACTGGTTAGTAAGAAGAGGCAGGGGAGGTATGCCTAACAAATGGAGGAGTGAAACCTCCAACAGAGAAGAACGAGCATAACCTCCAACATCGAAAACATCATAGAAGATGCGAGTGAAGTCCGTTTTCGATGAACTCGAGCTTGTCATCAAGATGACCATAAGCTCTAAGACTCACAAAGAGAACCAAACAAGAACCAAGAAATATGATGCAAGGATGCAATGGTTTGAGCTCTCTACGAATGATACAGTCAAGCTACTCATCGAGAGCCCTCCTTGATAGTACGACAATCGATCCTATAACCTGTTCTCCCAACTACCATCATGAGACCGGTAAAATAGAAAACCTATCAAGGGCAAACATTTGCCTTGCACATGGTCCACTTGAGCTAGATGATGACGATCTTGACTCCCTCAAGTTGGACCACCTTTCTTGATTGCGTTGGCTCGACGAAGACTATTTGATTGCTCCCCCATACTCCACTATGGGTGAGTCACTCTTCCGCACATCTTCACAAGTCCATTGTCACCATAATAGATGGCAAGCTTCAAGCATTTGATCTCTTTGTGATGCTTCACTTGAATTTGCACACCGCAACCATGGGATCGCTTGATCCCTCTCGGTACATCTTCTACGCTTTGTGGGTTGATCAACTTGATTCACTCTTTGACTTAGTCTTGATCAACCTCTCACAAGACCAACCTTTAGGTAATTCCTTGAATAGCACCTTGGTCAACACAAACTCTCCTTAAAACCAACACATGTACTCCAAGAAAAGCCTATGGACAAAACCTTCAAATATAACTCAAGGCAACCATTAGTCCATAGAGATTGTCATCAATTACCAAAATCAAACATGGGGGCACCGCATGTTCTTACACGATGGACAATGCCAACGATCAGTTCATTATTGTCGATCGTTGTGTGGGATTCTGTGTCAATCTTTTTCTGTAAACTTTTGTTTTGTTGATTCCAATTATTTAAGAAATTGTGAAATTTGTATCTTCTGTAAGTAAATGTCAGTGCCAAGGCGTCTTTTGTATATTTCATGTAGTTCTCAGAAGGTTGCAAACGAACTTATTATTTTGTGTTATTCTAAACCTTGAAACTTTTGGTGCATTATATATGCTAAATATTATATGAAATGCATCAATGGAATGTACTGATCTTCATGACTTTGTTACTGGATTGGATATGATTCACCAGGCAGGCCTATGGCAAGCCACACTTCCTACTAACTTAAACCATGCTTTCTACTAACCGATGATTACCTTCTTGACCACGTCGTTGGGACCGGCACCCCGCGCCAAGACGCGTTCCTGATCTAGTACCTCTCATAGCACGACTTTCTTAACACTCGGAGTAGTGGCGATATACATCTTTTACTTTTTCGCGTTGGAGCTCGATCACCTCACCCTTGTGTTCAAGCTGGGTGCGAGCTAGGTCAGGTTTATAGGTTTTATGAACATTTTGTGTGGGCCCATTCTGTAAGGAGGGGGCAAATGATCAAAGTGTGTATAAACTTGAGTCAAATTCTCAATTGTTCCTACAACAAAAACGAGGGAAAATGGTCAAAGTACCTGAAATGCATGCTCGCCATCTTGACCGTCCATCACGATCGGACGGACCTCAACTCTCTTCTCCTCGGCTCAGGAGCTTCAATAATCAATACCCACCCATACGCCCTACTACCTTTCCTCGTTCTGTTCTGCCCGCCGCCTACTGTGCTCTGCTCCCCCCACTGCCCAGTCCACACTACCCACCCAGCGACTCCGCCACCACCGAAACCCCAATGCGGTCGCCGCGACTCCGCCGCCAGCCGGCGCCGGCGCCGGCGCGGGATCCGCATCCGGCGGAGCCCACGGAGGTCTTCCCCCTGGGCGAGGCTGTGGAGGTGCTCCCGGACGAGGGAGCCTACCGCGGGGCCCACCTCCCCGCCGTCGTCGCGCGCTTCGACCCCGACCTCCGCAGCTACGCGGTCGAGTACGACGCCCTAGCCATCTCGGGGGCCTCCGGCCGCGCCCTCCCGGAGACCGTGCCGGCGTCGCAGGTCCGCCCGCGCCCTCCGCCACCGTCGCCGGCGCCCCACGCCGAGCACGCCCCCGTGGACGCGCTCCGAGACGGCGCGTGGTGGCTCGGCGTCGCCCTCCTCGGCGGGGGGCGGGCGGACGGGAAGGTCGCGGTTCGCTTCCCGGCGACGAGGGAGGAGGCCGAGTTCGACGCGGCCGATGTCCGGCCCCACCTCGAGTGGGTCGCCGGCGAGTGGCGCTCCCCCGAGGACATGGTACGAGTTCCAACACATCTTGCAAAAGAGTCGTCCTTTTGTGCCGTTGCATCCCCATTCAAACTGGGGGAGCTCCCTTTGTTCCACAGCTAGGGTTAGCAGAAGAACATCTTGCAATGTTCGTCGGATTGCTGTTACCTAGGCGTTGTTGTTGAATGCAGTAACGCATTCATCTCCATGCGATTTCCTGGTTAGGGTTTCTGTGGGGAATCCCATTTTGTTCTCTCGTAGTCTGGTTAGGGTTATGATTTACAGGATGATCCTGCAAAATTGCAATGCGCTGGAGTTTTATGCATTAACATTGGACATTCGAGATTAGTGTCGTTGCTTCTGCGCTTTTGTTAAGTGCAGTATTGATGGATTGTTGCTGAATGTCTGTCTAGAAGATTTCAGTTCATCAGATTTATTCAATAAATTTTCCTTTGGGCTGCCGGAGGGCTTGTGTTCTGCTAGTTGGATCTGTTGAATTTGTTTGATTGGATTCATATGAATCACACTGAAACAAAGTGAGCCTAGTTGGTCACTCGGTGTACATCTGCAATGAATTGATGGTCGATAATGCTGCTGTTACTTCTCCTGGCATGTTTCTTTTATTACAGTTCCTGAGCCTCAGTGCAAGTTGACATGACAAGATTGTTATGGAACTACGTTCCTGAATTGTTGATGATCTTCCAAATGCTTTATACTGAAATTTATTGTTTTAGAGGGATTCCTGACTTCTCCTATATATTACATATTGGTATTTTATGCTTTACATCTAGCTGTGTCTTAAGCACATATAATCACCGGCTAGAATTAAACATATGGGATGATTTGTATTCCTTTTCTGATTGCTCTAGATTATACTCCCTCCGTTTCTAAATATAAGCCCTTTTAGAGATTTCAACAAAGACTATATACGGAGGCATATAGACATATTTTAGAGTGTAGATTCACTCATTTTGCTCCCTGTGTAGTCCGTATTGAAATCTCTAAAAGGGCTTATATTTAGAAATGGAGGGAGTAGATATCAACATCTATATTATGCCCTCAATTGTGTTGGTCATGGTAGTTTTACATTAGTGTCGCTTATTTTTCAAGGTTTTCTTTACTTGCGTATTTTTATCACCTTCTTTTAATTATTGGTTGCTGAATAACTACTCTTTGCCTACCAGGAGACATCCAAGAGAACGCCGTATGCTAAAGGAACACATATAGAAGTTGCCAGGTTGGAAGCTGATTCTGTTGTCGCTTGGTTCCCTGCAATTGTTGCAAAGCCTATCTGGAAAAATAACCTCTTGGTGGAGTACCCTTTCGGGAAGGGTAGTGAACTGTGCAATGAGATTATCAACATCAAGCACATCAGACCTTGCCCGCCACGTGCATCAGTTATTAGTTTCTGCGTCAATGATGATGTTGAGGGCTTCCAAGATGATGGCTGGTGGCCAGGGAAGATCACTGAGATCCATCCCAAGTTAACATATACATTTAAGTTAGCAACTTCAGGAAAGAAGGTTCAGTTACACCAGAACACACTGAGGCTTCGATATGACTGGACTGATGACCAATGGAAGCAAGTTGCACAGGTGTGTACAGAATCTTTCGGGTTACATTTCTTTGAAATGTTTGCACTTTGTGTGGATGCTTCCTGCACTGTTTTTATGTGTTTATGTTCTTAGTGCTATAATCAATTTGTATGGTGTGAAAAGGTGAGGATTCTTAAGGCTGCTTTCGTTGTAGCGAAACCTACTTTTACTTGTCAATCAAGCCTATTTGCCTCTTTGGATTGGATGATTTCAATCCATAGGATTTTTTCTACAGGGTGCCGGGATCATAGGAATATGCAACCAAATTCTTATGGATCGCTTTCCTATGCCCCTAATTCCATAGGACTTTTAGCATGAGATCATATCTCTTGTATTGTTTCCTTTGTGTGCATGGCAACTATTGGCATACATTCATGACTAGTTAGTATCTAGAGAAAATTTCTGTGTTTTTCCTGTGGTCCAACAGCATGATTCCTAATCGTTATTTCTGTGGGTTTCAATTCCTGTTTTCGGAGAACTTTGCAATTTCTATTGACACATGAGCTGTGGTTGATACCAATATTTGCTCTATTGGTGCTTAAGAATTTTGTGGTGATTCGTGATGCTCCTGTTCTAGCATTTTCTAACCATAGCATGGTCAATTGCGCAGTTCCCTTTTAGGCTTTTAACTATGAAATTTGCATGCAGGAACTGTGACATTGTTAACAACTCGAGATATTAGATATATTTTCTTCTTCTCAGAATTGTTAACCTGGATAAATTGTTAGTTATTAGTCGTGCTGCCGTGATATCTGTTCCAGTGACACAATATGCAATTCACCCTGTTGCATCCTCTTTTTATTGTCTTTTCTCGATCAAAGGGATGAAACATTCATCTCTGGCCTCTTTTAGCTAAAGTACGTACCACTTCACCACCCTCTTGCGGATACACAGATACGAGAGAATGAAACTTCTTCTGTTTTTGAGGAAGAATTAGCTCCATTACTTGACACTGCTAAAGAGGCATCATATTGTTGTCTGTACTTGGGTACTAAGGATGAACAAATGTAGCATCTTATACTGTCTCTGTTTATGTTGCCTAGTGGATATAGTACTAATCGCCAAAAAAAACAAATATGTTATGAGCCACATCCATGACAATTACATCAGTCAGATAATCACTTGCACAATCAAACTGTTTGCCTATTCTGGTACTATCAGTGCTCTCATCCAGTAGATCAAATTTATCAAAAGAATCCTTGGGCAGGTCCTAAGTTTGGTGAAACTAGAATAAATCTTTCTTGTCTGTTGAGTTCTGAAATTGTAAAATGAGACGCAAACTCACATCAATGATGATGATTACTTATTCCTCTGTACTTTATGTTTAAAGCAATTTAAACTGCCAACGTTTCTAACAAGTGTCGCCTTTCTACGGCCTTTGGCCATCTTTCAGAATCTGTCGGGAACAAAATTCACAGGAGGCGACAGGGTTGAGGTGAGCAGCGACGAGGAAGGTTTCAACGGAGCGTGGTTCCAGGGGACCGTCGTCAAATCCGTGGGACACAAGTTCCTCGTGGAGTACGATGCGCTGAAGGATGATGACGAGATCACGCCTCTGAAAGAAACCATAGGGGAGGAGCACATCAGGCCCTCCCCTCCTGCTATCCCTGTCACCAACGGTTTCAAGGTCCTTGACGAGATTGACGCCTATACCAATGATGGGTGGTGGGTCGGCGTGATATCTGAGGTCCTCGACGACCAGAAGTACAAGGTTTACTTCAAGGCTTACAAGGAGCAGAATGACTTTGAGCTCGAGCAGCTGAGGCGTCACTGCGATTGGGTGGGGGGAAGGTGGATGCAGGCTTCCCCGGTAATAACCTCTACCGCCTATCCGTTTTATCAGCATCTAAGTTGACAGCTGATAATGAAATTAGCACTTGTGATGATGATTTACTGATAGCTGCTAGCATAGCTGGATAGCTACTTACCCATGTTTGTCTCATCTTTACATCCCGTTATTACCATCACCATCCGTTTCTTTGCTATCAGTCAATCACATGTGTTTGTGCAAATTCAGTTTTTCATTGACAATCTATAACCCTTGGCAGGCGCTGGAGATGTGACAGCTGAAGGGACACACGCATCTTTGTACAGGAGCCTGGGATAATTAGTAGTCCTACCCATGAGAGTGTGGCTTCACTAGTTATGATGGTTGCTGAACTGAAGCTGTGTTATGCGCATAGAAAGGCCAGCAAATCGGTAGTAGATGGCCTTTCTGCATTGCCATTCCCGCAGCAGGTGATCTAGATGAGATGTTCGTCGACGGGAGACTTTCACCTTTCACCGTCACAAGTAAGATTTCGTCGTGCTTTTTATGTAAACCACCTAAGAACAAACCTCTGGGAACATCGTCGCTATTCACGATTCCGCCTGAAACTTGTGCTGTTGCGCATTGGTTCCGCGTGATCTGGCCGGCATGGAACGTTTTAAGCACTTGAGCCGAGAGCAACCGCCAACGCTTCGCCGCTCTGATAACTATGTTACCACGTGGTTAGCCTTTTGGACCACCGAGTGCCGGGTTTAAAAGCTTGAATTCAATGTGGCGTGAGGGGGGAGAGCATGGCCGGATTGATTGCCTTGGCAGCAGAGGACGATGAAGGTTTGTTGATGGTGACGACGCGCCGTGGTTGTACGTACGAGGCAATGCGAATGGCACTTTCTTTTTTTTTTGAGAGAGAAAAATGGCACTTTCTCTGTGCCGTGTGCTGTGCGGTATGTGCATGCACAGTGTGGCTGAACACATCTATAGATAACAAGAAAACTAATTTCGTTTTCTAATCATGGACGGCATGGTAGCCCTCTCGAATGAGAAGTCGCCACTCTCCAAAGATTCCTCCAGATGACAACAAATGCTGTTCGTTGCAGTGTCAAGTCAGTGGTACCGCTGCCTTTTTTCGTGGCGTGGCAGCAGGAATTCAATTGCTCTTGAGATGCCACTGTTCAAAACTGCGCCTACTACCAGCACATGTTGGTGGTAGAAATCACATATTTGACCTGAGGCAGAAATCAATTCACAAACTGACCTGCTTTTAAAAAAATTTCACTCTGCTGACCCTTTCGTGTGGCGCCCGACAGCTGGGCATCGCACCCTACTGTGCAGCGCCCATCACTTAGGTGCCACACTTCCTGCCAGCGTGGCAGCCCTGGTCCAGCTGCGGCCCCACACGCACTTGTGCAGCGCCTAAGTCTTAGGCGCTACACATGTAATGTGCAGCGCCTAGCTCGTGGGCGCTGCACAGTCTGTGTTCCACTTGGGCTGGCCCCACCCTCTCTCCCCTCCCACCCCACCCCACACACCCTCACCCCACCCAAACCCTAAGGCTTGCGGCCCTCCTCTCTTCCCCTCTCCCCCCTCTCAAATCCTTCTCAAATCTTGCAAATCCGGAGTATTTGACCGTGGATTTCGAAGCCAACCCCTCCCTTAAGGTAATCTCCTCCCATCCCATCATTTTGGGTGGGGTGCAGTAGCACTCAAATAACTAAAACATCAATAAAAGTACTATAAACTGGACATGCTAAGCAAAGAGAACTAATAACTTGAACATCACATCATTTAAGACAATTCAAGTTTGCTTCAAGTTTGCAAACACAAATACCATAACATAAGCTCACAAGTTAATCAACCTCACAAGTTCACAAGTTCATCATATAACATAACCTCACAAGTTCATCAACCTAACACAAAGCACTAATGCCTTCCACGCGTGTTCCTGGTGCCACGCCTGCAGGTAATCTTCTTCTTTTTAGGAGCACGAGGCTCCTCTTCGTGCACTTCCTCCTCCGCCTGCGGCTCCGCCTCCGCCTCCTCCTCCGCCTCATCATCCAATCTAGCCATCCGCGAGGTCCCTACGACCACCTTTGGGTTGCCTCTGTTGTCATAGTCGTTGGGCGTGTACCGGCGTCTGGGCTGCCTAGGCTTGAACACATATGCGGACCAAGCTTGAGCGTCCGCCAAAGTCATGTCATCATCAAGCTCATCGCCCTATCACACAACGAAACAATATGGTGAAGGCCGATGTCGTAATCAAGTGAGAATCACATCTAAATGATTAGTCATACCTCTTGGGTGATCCCACCCTCATCATCCACATAAGCATATGAGGAACTCACATCGTCCCCCTCATGGTGAGGTGCGGGGTCTGATGGTGTACCAGACCTAGAGGCAGATGGTTCATCATATTCAGGATCACGGCAACCGAGAAGGTTCGATAACCGCCTTAACTTCTTGGCCTGACGCTGTAACATGAACAAGTGTGTAAGATATCAAACTTCGCAACATAGACTGGCTCTCATAGTGAATGCGATATGTACCTTGAGGAATGCTCGTAGTGAACCATCATCATTGCCAGTTCCAACCGGTGTCTTCTCCAGAATAGACTGGCTCTCATCAGCTGCTTTCTTGATCTCGGTGCGCTGCGGATGAGAAAAAATGAATGCGTTAGCCATTCAAACATGTGTAATACGGTCAACAGGAAATTAAAGAGGGGAACACTTTACCACATACTTAATCACCGGAACAGCAGGCACTCCTTGCCCTAGCCTGACATCTCTGTTGTACTTCCCCTTTGCTAGATCCTCAAAGTTTACGGGTTCTTCAAGAATATCCTCATTATATGCCGGCGGGCATATCTCAACTCGAGTAGTTCCAATAAACCATCGTACATAGTTATCAAAAGCAAGTGAGTTGTGCTCACGAAGCGGGGCGCATGCAGTGCTACGAGCTTGCTCCACACAAAGCTGGAAGCGGGTAACATACGCAGAATGATGCTTGGCCCAGTCCTTTATCTTCCGTTGCCTTCTCCTGTCTAACCTGCGTGGTATAAAACCAAACATTAGCACAATCAAAAGGAGTCCCGATGATTAGACAATACGCACACATGCTCTCTTACCTATGAAGTGCTTTATCCATGTCCACCCAATCCGGCGGGTGAGGCTGGAAAAGACCAAACTGACGATACACGCGATGCGGCAAATGAAACTCAACCGCCCAGTTGCATATCAATGGGCACCGCATAAGACAAAGATCCTTATCCCGCAAGCACATCGGGTTGAGGCGGAACTCCGCGGTGTACCCCAAGCTCTCACCCGCGCCATATGGCTGCCATTCCACCTATGAAACAGGGCAACAATGCAAATTTGATAACTATTTTTCAAGCAAGCATGAGAAAGGACTAAAGTAATGACCTCCTTACCTGCTCAGGCGTAATCGTGTCCAACTCGGCAATGTACTTTTGGTACATGAGATTGACATCGTTCGTCATCTCGGAAACGATATCCCACTTGTAAGCCCACGTGGGGCGCCGTAATTCGTCATGTTCATCTGCATACCAAGGATCAAACCTGACGCTCTTCGGGCGTCCAACAGGCAGACGCTCCCAGCTCCATACAGAAAGTAGAAGCAGATTACCACCAATGCCTGCACTAGGTGTGATCCTGCAACACGCATCATCCAGCTACATATGAAAGAAAAACAATGTTAACTTGACAGCAAGCTTGCATTGCTAATGAATAAATGAGTTGATCACAAAACAGACCAACTACCTGTCGGTACAAGTAGGCAAGAGTCGCTGAACCCCAGCTCCATTTGCTATCGAAGACGGTCAACGCCTTCAGCCACATCCATGGAGCGTTCTTGCCAGTGGAGTCAGGAAACAAAGTCCTCGACACAATGTACCACATATACACACGAGCATGTGTCTGGATCACATCATCAGTTGCATCCGGAGGGCACATCGCAAAGTTATTTTGAATCCACGTGAAAGCAGCTCCAGCTGCCTTCCTTTCCCTCTTCTTCTTCTCTTCTCCCTCCTCTACATCATCCTCAGCCTCGGTAGGAGCCATACCGATAAGAGCAATCATCTGCTCGCGCCACCCATCAGAATCGGTGTTCATACATAGAGGCCTCCCGTCGATAGCAAGACCGGTGATCAACGAGACATCCTCGAGCGTCACGGTCATCTCCCCGGTCCGAAGATGGAAACTGTGGGTCTCTGGCCTCCACCGATCAACAAGAGCGGACACCAGTGGAGCGTTCAGATTCGGCGTGGACCGGCTGACCAACAGAATCCACGGGAGTAGTCCTGCCTGCTTGATGTACGGTGTGTACCGTTCATCGTAAGGCATGGCAGGACCAGAGACCCCGTGATACCGAATCTTCAGAGGTTCAAGCTTCTGCAAAAAACAAGTAATGACAAATCTTAGGGCATGTAAATTTCAACTAAAGGCAAATTTGCAAAAGATTTAGAGTACTCATTATTACCTTATCCTTCTCGCGCATCATGTAGGACCGGTGTTGCACGTCGTAGACATCGTCCATAAGCCAAACCATCCTTACAATTTCAAACAATAAACATACATGAGTTCATCTCAAATATCGGAAAACACTCAACATCTAATATATATCTAAAAAAACTCAACATCTCACATATAGCTACAAAACTCAACATCTCATAATTATCTACAAAACTAGGCATCTCATATATATCTAAAAAAAATAAACAATCTAGGTTTAACTAACAAGAATCATATACTACCGGATATGACTACACATCCTCCATCACAACACCGAAAGAGTTTCCACCTAACGAATGAACACCGGATATGAACACCGGATATGAACACATGATATGACTACACATCCTCCATCACAACAAGAATCATATACTACCGGATATGACTACCAATTCTTTTGGTTGCAATGAATGTGTGCTCATTCTGAAACACCGAAAGCCTGCCTTGACCACATTTGAACAATAGCATTGCTGCCTTGTCGGCTCTCTGCATACTTGTAAAACTAAATAAAATTTTGATAGTTGTTTTCAAAGTACTTGCCATTGATGAGAAAAGGATTCCACATTTGAAGGTCAGACCAGGAAATGGCTCCTGAGATGGATGACTTATCATCTCCAATTGCAATATTA